CCGCCCAGCCAGAGGGAGAAACAGAAGAGGAAAACAAAAGTACAGCGACCCCTGCCCGCCCGCGACAACGCCAGCCAACGCGCGCAAGGCCAGAAAAGGGACTCGAGTGGGCGAGAGCCTGCCGTTACTCGGGCGATGCTGTCCGCACGTTGTGCTCAATGGTGAGGAGGCCAGGGATGATGAGGATAAGGGGATAAAACAAGAAGTAGGATGAAGAGGATGATGAGAAGGTGGAGGAGATGACGGAGGAGGAGGTGATGGATGAGGGCGAGGACGATGACGACGACAAAGACAACAACGACGACGTCGACGACGACGACGACGACATCGACTGCGACGATTACAACGACGACGACGACGACGACGAAGAGCGGGGAGAGCAGGAGTGGGAGGAGGACAAGTGAGAAACGGGAGGTGGATGATGGAGGAGGAGGATGGAGAAGTGAGGGAAGAACGAGATGGAGGAGGACAGAAAAATGGGGGCAGGAGGGGAAAGGAGGAAGAGGGGAGGGAGAGGGTGAGAGGCGAAGAGGACGGTCATGCCCATACCCCCCATTGTGGTGCGAGTATCTGTGCGGATGCCTTGCACGGAGCAGGGAGCCACGGTTGACTCTAACGGCCAGCTCGCGCGCTGGCCGGCGGTGGCCGACCCCCCACAAGCGATGCGGCACGGCCCCACCGTCACTTGTAACCGATGTAGTTGAAGGGGGTGACCGCTTTCAGCTCCTCCTGTTACTAGCATGCTGGAGCAAACACAATATAAACGTAAACTTTCGGAGATCCGCGGGATTTATTGGATCGGCGCTGGGCCCCCTTAGACGGCGCCTCTGGCGCCGCCCTCTGGCGCAGCCCCTGGCGCGCTCCGCGCGCCAAGGAGGGGGTCCAGCACCGATCTGAGAAATCCGCGCGGAGCTCCAATGGGCGGTGAGGCTGGGGGAAGTGAGAGGTGGCAGGCTTCTCAGAAGGCGGCGGGGCTTCTCAGAAGCCCTCTGGTCTTCTGACAATGTGTCTGTGTCGCCCAGGAAAGCTCAGGCTCAGAAGGCCCGAGACCTTCCGAGCCTTCTGAGAAGGCCCGCCCCCTCTCACTTCCCTCCGAGCTCGGCGCCGATCCAACAGTTGATGTTTCTGCGGTTATTGCTTTCTTCGATCTTAGCCCGACATCCGGGCGTCGCGAGCAAGAGCGCTCTTCTGCATTTCTCGGCGCAGCGGCTATCATCAGGCCCGCACTTCTCCCCTCCCCCACCCTGGTGGCTGCTCGCTGGGCGCCCGCGGGGTCTCGGAGCGGCTTTGGATACCGAAGATCCGATGTCGTGATTTCTAAAGCGGGGTCCCCGGAAATCAGACCCGTTCCCCAGGGGCGGCGTTTCATCCTCAGCCGTTCGGAGGGCGGTTTCTGTAGTTTCCGGCAAGTGTTCTCGCATGGAGGGGGGGAGGCGGGGGTGCGACGAGGCCCGAAAAGAGTTCTGGACTTTACGCAAGTCGGGACTGACGTTCACGCCTTTGCGGCCCAGCGCTGTTTGAAATGGCGACGGCAGGGGGGAAGGGAAATGCCATGAATCAAACATAAAATCAATCTCTTTCGGACGATCCCGGAGCCCAACGTGGGCCCCTGAAACCGACAACGGCGAAAAATCTGAGGCTTGATTTCTGGGACGTTGCAATGTCTTGGATAGCTAAGGACGAGACCCCGCGGGCGGAAGGCGCGTCACCGGGCACCTCCCCCCCCCGAAGACTCCCGTTGCGCTGTGATGATCACACATAACTGCACGGGCTCCCAACAACCCACCCTGGGCGTCTCTGCCTTCGCGGACGGACTCGACCCGAGACCCATTGATGCTTCATGTTTCAACAGATTTGACAGCTGCTGATCTTGAGCTCACGGATGGTGTTTTGATTTTATGTGCAAATGACAACCGATACGATGGTGTTGTGGCATTCAGTAAACAAGACGCGGCAGATAGACACCGTGTTGACCCCGGAACGTCTTCTTCATCATCTGAGGGGCTCCGGCCCCCCCGCCGACGCCTTCAAGGCACGCGGCCGCGCGTGGGCGCGGTTGCGGATATCGGCGCTCGCTCGCTTGCTTTGGAGGCCTTCAGAGACCTCAGACTGGGAGCCTGGGGAGAAGACTGGAGCGAAGCCACGCCCCTTTGAAACCAGAAGTGCTCCTGATGTTGACGTGTCGACCCTGCCGACCCCTCCTCCTCCTCCTCCTCCTCCTCCTGCTCCTGCTCTTCCTCCTCCTCCTCCTCCTCCGCCTCCTCCTCCTCCTCCTCCCACCCCTTCGACGCCGGCTTCCTCGACGAAATGGCTCCGAGAAGACCTCCCGATGATCCTGTTATCCTTCCTCGAGCGCGCATCCCCCTCGAGGCAAGTTCTGCCGGGGGGGTCCGCAATGGTGGGTGGGGTCAGGACGAGCCCGCGGGTCCTTGACCGCGGCCGAGACAGCAAGTCCGTCGATGAACTTGTGTATCCTGTCCTGGTTCATCACGTCGTTGGTCCTCGTGAGATCCCTGAGCGCCTCGTACGGCTTCGGGAACTGCTCCCGCCTCAGAATGCTCTGGATGGCCTCTGCTACCACGGCCCAGTTGTTTTCCAAATCCCTGTCAATGGCAACCTTGTTGATGAGCAGCTTGCCCAGCCCTTTCTGGATTGAGGCAACGGCTATAGACACATGCCCAAGGGGCACACCAATGTTCCTGAGGACAGTCGAGTCTGTCAAGTCGCGCTGCAGTCTGCTGATGGGCAGCTTCTGCGACAGGTGCTCCAGCACGGCATTTGCCACGCCGAGGTTGCCCTCCGCATTCTCAAAGTCGATCGGATTGACCTTGTGGGGCATTGCGCTCGAACCGACCTCACCAGCAACGATCTTCTGCTTGAAGTACTCCATGGACACGTACATCCACACATCCTTGCAGAAGTCAAGGAGGATGGTGTTGATGCGTTTAATTGCATCGAAGATTGCCCCCATGTTGTCGTAATGCTCTATCTGCGTGGTGTACTGCTGCCTCTTCAGGCCCAGCTTGTCCTGACAGAAACTTGTGGCGAACGCGCGCCAGTCCACAGACGGATACGTCACGAGATGGGCGTTCATATTTCCAGTGGCACCCCCGAACTTGCAGGAGTGCGGCACCTGCTTCAGGAGTACCAGCTGTGACTCCAAGCGCTCGATGAAGACCTTGAACTCCTTTGCCAGGTTCGTTGGGGACGCCGGTTGCCCGTGGGTCTTAGCCAGCATAGGAACGTCATACTCTTCCAGCCGTTCCTTCAAGGCCGCGATGATTCCCTCGATGGCCGGGATGTACCACTTCTCAATTGAGTCCTTGAGGAGTAGAGGAATGGAGGTGTTGTTGATGTCCTGGCTCGTCAGCGAGAAATGGACCCACTCCTTGAACGCCTCGAGGCCGAGAGAATCGAACTGCTCTTTGATGAAATACTCAACGGCCTTGATATCATGGTTGGTAACCTTCTCCGTGTTCTTGATGTGCTCCGCATTCTCGATCGAGAGGCCGTCGACCATCGCGCGCAACTTCTCCGCAGATCCGCTCGGCAGGTCCTTCCCAGCCGGAAGCTCCGCCATGAGGGCCAGGAAATACTCCACCTCGAAAGGACAGACCAGAGTGCCGACTGCGGAGCAGCATCACGATAGGGCCCTCCTCCTCCTCCTCCTCCTCCTCCTTCTCCTCCTCCTCTTCCTTGTCCTGCTCCTCCCCTACCTGGGGAAACAAACAGATACTCATACCGCTACTCCACGGATCTCCCCGGGGGAACCTTTTGAAACGACCCCGAGGCTAATTCAGCCGTGGTTACGAGGAATCTCCAGGACGAGTGGCGGTATCGGTACCTCCTCCTCCTCTCCTCCTCCTCCTCCTTCTCCTCCTCCTCCTCCTCCTCCTCCTCCTCCTCCTCCCCCTCCTCCCCCTCCTCTCCATCCTCATCCTCCCTCAGCTGCTCCTCCCCTTCTTCCTCCTCCTCCTCCTCCTCCTCCTCCTCGACCTCCTCCTCCCCTACTCCTTCTCCTTCTCCTCCTCCTCCTCCTCCCCCTCCTCCTCTTGTTATGTTTCCTCGTCTGCTTAGAATTGTTTTTGTGTTTAAGATCCGTCTCCTTAGTATACATGTTATCCATAATATTATGTTTGTTCGTATTCATCCTCTTCTCAATATTACCCTGCTTCTTCTCATAGTAGTAGTATTCGTGGTATCAGTATTGCTATTCCTATGTGTGTAGTATGAATATTGTGTATGGTAGTATTAGTCCTCTTGTTCGTAGCCTTACCCTTCTTATTCGTATTAGTATGAATGTTCTCATTCGTATTGCTATCATTACGAGTATTATAAGTATTAGTATTCCTGCTCCTCTTCCTCCTCCTCCTCTACTTCCTCCTCCTCCCTCCTCCTCCTCTTCCTCCTTCTCCTCCTCCTCCTCCCCCTCCTCCCCCTCTCCCCCTCCTCCCCCTCCTCCTCCTCCTCCCTCCTGCACCTCTTCCTCCTTCTGCACCTCTTCCTCCTCTTCCTCCTCCGCCTCCTCCTCCTCCTTGTCCTCCTTGCCCTCATCCTCCGCTTCTCCTCCTCCTCCCCATCCTCCTCTTCCCTCCTCCTCCTCCTCCTCCTCCTCCTCCTCCTCCTCCTCCTCTCCTCTCCTCCTTTCTCTTCCTCTCCTCTTCCTCCTCCTCCTCCTCCTCCTCTTCCTCCTCCTCTTCCTCCTCCTCCTCCTCCTCCTTCCCTCCGCTACCGCCTCCTCCTCCTCCTCAATCCTCTTCCTCCTCCTCCCCTACATCCTCCCCTACCGCATCCTCCTCCTCCTCCTGCTACTCCTCCTTCTCCTCCGCCTCCTCATCCTCCTCCTCCTCTTTCACCCCCCTCCCCCTCTTCTCATCATGCGTGCTGGAGCTCAGCGGGTATCCCCCGGAAACTCATGAATGGGTTTGCCTGGGACCACTCTGCGTGCTGATCGTATTGATGTTCCTTCTGCTTCTGGAAAGTTGTGCACAAACAGGCTAGTACCATGATATAAAATCAAGCGCCTAGGGCCTACGGGGCCAGGGTTTCCATGACGGTGCTGGAGGAGTACCGATCCTGAATGAAGAAGATACGCAGCTCTCTCTCCAGGAAAGGCGAATGCGAAGGAGTATCGAGTTTGAACCACCTCGCTTCCGGTGGCCAGTGGCCCGAGATGCGCCTGAAAGATGCAGGCTGTCTTAGTAATGGGGGTATGCAGCCGATTTGGAGTTCGCCTGAGACCCCTCGGCAGAGGCTTTGGGAACGTCAAGATAATTTGAATAGTGATGATGACTCATTTACCTTACCGCTCATATGTTCAAGGATTCCCATGATGGCGGGCCTGAGTCTCAGTGTTTCTGGACCCGAGGTCTCGTCCCTCTTGGATGGACCCTTGGTGCCCTCCCTCCTGTCGAGGGTCGCGCTTGGGCCTGGGGATCGTTTCACGAAGCTCTGTGGGGGGGGGGTTCAAGGTTCGAGGAGGTATGTTTGGAAGTGATGGTTATGGAGGAGCTCACAACAAGGATTGGAGGTTGAGGAGATGTTCCTGGTACTTGGTCAAAGTGTACCCAGGTTCTCTACGGGTGTCTGGCGTCCTGTGTGGCAGCCTTCCTGGTGAGGACCAGAGCTCACCCAGAGCGGAGTTGTATGCCCTGATTCAGCACACCTCTTATTTGCCCGTCGCTCGTAGCATGAGCAGGTCTGGGCTCGGGGTCAGCGGTTCGGGCATGCTCGGCTCGTTGTAGCTGGTCGATTCATTGATGAGCTGCAGGTCGGGTAAACTTGAAGGGAGATGGTGCAAGAGTCATACTACCTGGAAAAAGGTTTCCGCCCACCACTTGACCCCCAAGAATAGTCTCCAACGGTGTAGCTGACTATTTTGCGAGGGGAAGCTGCCAAGTCGGTGTCTCGGCAGGTCTTCTGAACTTGCCCCTGGACCCACGAGGAGAGACTACGCAGCGAGCACCACTGTGAAAAAGGACCCAATTCGAATAATGTCTACGAGCTCAGGCTTGCCGAGCAGGGCCATTATGCTGTCAAAGTCGGTGGTGTCTTCAAATGTGCACGTTGTTTCAGCAAGTTTCCTGCTGTGAAAGGTGACCTTGCGAGTTTCTGGCCTGCTCAGTGTCTCGAGGCACTCTCGCTTGGGTCCTCGGAGGTGGTTGAATCTGGCCCCTCCCAGGCGTCGGGCCCGACCCTGGGGTATCCGAGTGGGCATCCGTGTTCTGCCCGTGCATCTGACGCGCGTCCTGGCTGAATCCAGATGTGACTTGCTTTGTCGAGCATGCGGGAGTTGTGCAGTCAGCCTGGCACAGCAGCTGACCCAGCCTTGCCCTCCCGAGCCGACATTCACGGGCATAAGCCGCCCAAGTTCGGCATGTCCTTCCCAGACCCGAAACTGACTGTCCCAGGGCCGAGCTTGCACTCGTCACCTCTCCTTCCTGGAATCGCTGGAATCCCTCCCCCCCTCCTCCTTGTGGCCAAGATGGAGCAGAGGTAACGGCCCGCGGACACGCGACGTCCCCCGTCCACCTCCACGTGCACGCGGTATCTGATAAGCCCGTACTCCGAGAAGTACTGCGCCAGGCCCTTGTGAGGGTCAATGATAGTGGGGACCGGCCGGCTCAAGGGGGGAAAGATCGACTTGGAATGGGCGATACATCGCCGATTGATCGGCGATAGGCCGACAATAGCGAGTCCGCACGGTCCCGGTCGGGGTGGGCCATCGGCTATGTCGGGCCCCCGTCAGCGATGAATGGGTATTTGGGGGGTCGATGCGCCCCCCCCCCCCGTGAGCCTATCCCCCATAAAACATTGCCCCTGACCTTGGTGCTTCGCCGGTAGCGGCCGTCCACGGGCGAGACGGCGGTGAGCTCGGCGAGCTGGAGGTCGCCGATCGCGGGCAGGGCCCGTGCTGGGGGCGCGAAGGCCGCCATGTGACTGGGCCTGTTTGGTCGGAGGGGGGATGCCGAAAGCACAAAACTGCGGCCCAAATGGCTGCGGGCGCTGTCGCGTCGCAGCGTCAGAGTGCCACTGCCGCCTCTGTGCGGCTGTCCTTTCCTCCTCCTCCTCCTCCTCCTCCTCCTCCTCCTCCTCCTCCTCCTCCTCCTCCTCCTCCCCTTCCTCCTTCTCCTTCCTCCTTCTCCTCCTCCTTCTCCTCCTCCCGCCCCTTTTCCTCTCCCTCCTCCTCCATTCCTGATCTTCTTCCTCATGAACTCCTCCCTGTCGCACCCCGAGGCCAGTCGGAAGGGCGGGACGGGCGTTTCGCCTGACACTTCCTTATCAGCTATGAGCCTGAAGCTTAAAAACTGGCACGAAGTTCACGTGTTGAGGGCGGTCCGTTGTCAAAATGTGACTCTCTCCGTAGCGCCGCGTACACTCTCTTTGAACATGTGTAAGAGCTTCACGGATTGAGAGCGGCCCGTTTTCAAAATGTGGTTCTCGCCTCAGCGCCGCGCGCATGCGTATTTTGTTTAACAGAGGTTTTGGCGCGATTCAGGATTGTCTGGGCGGAAAGTTACGTTGATTCGCATTGTTGAAGTCCCAGGGATGGTGTCCTGGCAGGATTCACGATCGTCAAGACGCAACAGTCAAGTTTTCTCGTGGCGTTGAAATCATGAGAATGGTCTTTGGCACGCTTCAAGATCTTCAATCGGTTGTCTCCCAACAAAGAGCTTCCCTCAGTGGGAATGAGTGCGCGCATGGGCCCCATGAAGAGGGAGCTCGAAGGGAGGGGATATTCGAACATCGTTGATGAATCTTGGGTTTACACTGGCCCTCCTCCTTCTCCCTCCTCCTATCCTTACTCCTTCTTCGTATCCGCCACCGTATCTCTGGCACGCAGTGGGATCCCCCCTTTTCGCAAGCTTCGTACAGGAACGGACCACCAACTTCCGAGCTGGCTAGGGACCTACCCTTTATCGCCCGAGGAACCGACGTCCTGGGACCGCAGTGGGCGGTGGATATGGATATATTTGGGCACCAGGGAGCCCGAAAACACCCGTCCACTGCCTGTCGAGGTCCCCGAAGACAGATCCCGCAGGCGGTGGTTATGGATAAATCCCGCATTTGGCAGCTTGCTAGAAGTCTTGGTGCTCTCGGGAGTTCAGGACGTTTGCCACGGGGGCCTCCAGCGTGTGAGCCCTCCGGATGCTCCAAAAAGCCCCGAAGCACTCCAGGACAGGACAGGAAGTCTCCGTGCCAGCTCCGGTTGCCGGAGCGGTCCCCTGAGGGGCAGACGGTGCACTGCGCGAGTCGGAAAATCGGAGAACTAAGTGGTCAGAGAATGTGCAAAAGCTGTGCAGGCAAGAAGAAGGAGGACGAATTGGAGAACACCAACAAACATTGAAACATCTGCCTGCTGAGACGGGAACGCACACGACCACTCACGAATTTAGCGAATCATTCCACCTCAGACGTGGTCTCCCTATAGAGCGCTTCGCCTCGGTCCGGACCCACGGCGTCCACCCGAATAACCACCTGCTCCTCTTCTGTGCGTCGAGAAAGATCCGGGTGCCAAACTGTTTTCGATCTCGTCGAACGCAAACCCAATTATTGGTGTTGTATTTGGAACAATCGACTTCCATGTGTGCGTAGAACGCTTGACGTAATCCACGTAAGATTCATCGACTCCCCGCGCCGATCGAAACATGCTGCGGAGCATCCTCCTCCAAATGATCTTGAGCTTGTTTCTCGACTCGGTGCCCATTTTCCAGCATTCGCACTCGTATAGTGCAGCCGGCGTCACGACGTTTTCAAATAAGCGCACTCGTTTCCGAAGTGGGTAGGACTTCGAGCACAATACATGCTTGAACTTTGCAAACGTTCTCCACGCACACGACAGTCGGTATGCAAATTCAGTACGATGAAAATTGTGAGGAGAAAGCGGTATGCCCAGATACAGCTCGGACTGCGCAGGCTTCAGAATCCCCACTTCATTTTCAAACACACTCACTGATGATGCATTAGGCGTTGTGCTCGTCAAGGTTCTTGTCTTCCCGAAGTGCACTTGCAATCCATTGCGGGCCGCCTCCCGCCTCAAGTCTTGAAGCATTTTTGCAACGTCAGATCTGCTGCACGCCAATAGAAGCACGACGTCCGCAAATCTCAAAATTGTCATCGGATCTGAAGCCGCATCTATGATCAAACCGTAATATCGTTTCGTCCTGTGTGAATTGAGGCCGCACCATATGTTCTTCAGCGCGCGGATGCAACCTTCCATGACAGATATGAACAACAACGCAGAAATGGGATCCCCGTGCTTCACGCCGCGACGCACTTCGAAACTTCCTGATTCCTCTCCCGCAACGACCGTAGCCGTCTGGTGATGATAGAATTACTGCATCGGAGAAATATAATTGACACCGGCTCCCAACACGCGGAGAACCTCCCACAGCGCGGAATTATCTACTGCATCGCAAGCGGATTCGAAGTCCACAAGGGCCATTCAAACAGGCTGATTCCAGTCTGAACATCACTCGGAAAACCAAATCAACGTGAGTAGATGATCTATCGTGGAATACCCCTGCCGGTACGCAGCTTGGTCTGGACATGGCGCGGACACAAGTGTTGGCTGAAGTCTATCGCACAACAAACGTGAAAATAGTTGGTACAACATCGGCAAAACCGCTATGGATCTGCAGTTATTCGCTAGGAGCGGGTCGCCCTTTTTGAGCAACACCCCCAGACGCGTTCTCGCCCATGCTTCTGGCACTTCGGCGCCCGGCTGCACCACATCATTGAACACGTCGCGAACGGCATTGCGAAAGGTAGCGCTTAATAACCTCATCTCCGCCACCACGCCAGACTCATCTTTGCATTTTCCGCATTGCATACTCCTCAATGCCGCTCCCAGCTCCTCCCGCGTACAACTTCTCATTACAAACATGCGAATACTTCTGCAATGTTGCTTCGGCCAGCATGCTCTGTGCCGGCACCATCTTTCATTGCCGCAAATGTGATGCTTCTTCCTTAGACCTCAGCCCCCAACAATCCCAGAGATGCCGCGGAACTCTGTCAAGTTTCGGTAGATGAGCGCCTCACGCTCCAGCTTCAATCTGCTGCTAAGAATCTCCTTGATGCGTTTGCTGATCTCTAGTCGGCGCGCCTTCTTCTCTGCAGCGTTCAAGTCTGGCGTGCCGTAGGCCTCGTCATTCTGCAATGAGTGATGCAAGCGAATCGCAGCAACTGCAAGGCGATGCTGTCGACGTTGAACCCGGGATGACCTCATTGAGCGCACCCACCATGCATCGTTCCAGTGCCCCTGTCTTTTCTGAAAGTGTAATGCTTCTCAAAGTCTCTTCTTCGAGCTTCGCGTCCAGAGCGTCCGAATAGATGCTGGCATCAAGTGCCGAGCTCCAACATTTATGCAATTTCCGTGCGTGGGCCTTCTCTGGCGGTCGCAAAGATATGCGTAATTCAACCAGCCTGTGGTCCGAACCGGTGCCCAACCACCTGCTCACCCGACAAGACACTCCAGGAGACCCCGAAAATCTCAAAGAAAGTCTCAAAGAGGCTCGAATTGGCCCGTGATAGCCAACAAGATGAGAACATCCTATGATTAGGTGTGTCGATATGTTTAGCACGTTCGGCCCCCAAGCGTGAAGATGGCCGCACAAGGGTCCAAGACTGCCCTAAATTGTCGCAAAGGGACCTCGGAGGCCCCGAAGATCGCCCCACGACAGCCCTGAATCCCCCAGGACAGGCCCATGATGCTCCAGAGACGGTTCCAAGAAGCCCGAGAAATTGAACTGGCCCTGGAGGCGCTCAACCCAAAGATGATTCCCGAGACCGCCAGCAAGTCCCCCAGGAGCCCCCTAAAGCCCTAAAGGCCCCCAAGAGGTTTCCCAAGCACCCGCTCGTTGCCATTCCCAGTGCCTCCTTGCACCAGTTCGTGAACCCTTCGTGACCATCCTCGTTGCGTCGCTAATTACAACATTGCTCATTTCCTCGTGGTTTCGTGGACTGATCGAGTGGCCCGCCTGCTCCCTAGTTACTCCGTTGTGCGCGGGCCACGCGCTGACAACCTCGTAGCCTTGCTGCTCCGACACTTCATGACCCTCAGCATTCCGTGGACCCGTCATCGCCTCGCATCCGCGGTGCCCCGTTGTCTTAGAGCGTGACCTCCTGGTTGCCTCGTTGCCGTGCTGCACATTGCACAACTGTTGCGTTGCCTCGTTGCATCATTGCATCATCTTGCGGTGCCGTCGCATAGAACGGCCTGGCCGTTGCTAGCCTGACAGCCATGCTGCAACGTTGCCCATTGCTTTGATGTTTTGTTGCCTCTTGGCCCCAATCGCTCATGCGGCAGAGCCCCGATCAATGCAAGCCTCGTTGAGTCGGTTCCCATCTTACCGTCGCAATGTTCCCATTGCGAGGCCCGCCCGTTGTCGGTTGGCTGCGACAGAGCCGCCAGCCGCCAGCCGCCTGACCGCCCGCCTCACCAGCTACCAAATGTCCACGCTCTGGCTCTGGGTCTCTCTCTCTCTCTCTCTCTCTGACCCCCCTCTCTCTCTTGCGGGCCCGCCGCTCCGTGGATGGTGGCCACACTCGTTCGGCACCCCCACGCCTTGCCAACCCACGCGCCGCCCGTATGGTCGAATCCAGAATACCTGAGCACAACAATTTCCCGCATCCCCACGCCTTGCCTACCGACGCGCTCCCCACTACGGTCGGGAACTTGCAATTGGCGTGTCGCGGCAGCGGCACCAGCGACACGCTCATTATGCCGTGCGAGCGGATAGCGTGTCGCTCCGCTCCGAAGGGTGTGAGGCACGGAAAGGAGTCGGGACGCTGTCGCTTGTGGACCCGGAGGTAAGTGGACAGTGCGTCGTGCCGCGGCTTGGTGGGCCAGAACTGGCGGCGCGAAACGCTGAGCCGACGCTCCCGACTGCCCGCCGAATCCGAAAACCCCTGAACCCAAGGAACGAGGACGCCTCCGCCGCCCTCCGTCGGCCGGCCGCCCGCGTTTGCCGGCGGAGGCAGAGGCGCCCTCGTTAGCT